TAATAAAATTAATATTTTTCTTTATAAAGGTATTAAGGGTATTTTTTATATACATAATGATGTGTCTTAATATTTAAATAAACCTTTAAAGACCAATATTAATACTACATATCGTCGTTATTCTACTATCATCTCACAATTTGATTGGTCGATTGGCCAATAAAATCACGAGATGATTATCAAAATCTAACCAATCACAATGAAAGTTCGCTATGCTGAGTGGATATCATTCAGCAACGCCAGCGTCGTCAGTAATCGAAGTAGCAGTCACATGATTTCCGGCCCTAAATTTTTCGAATTTGTTTTTCGGGCTTTTATTTTTATTTATTTATTTATTTTTAAGCTTCAGAATTTTTAGAAGGAAAATATCTCTTCCAAAAAATTCAGAAGCTCAAAAAAAACTCCCTTAAAAACAAATTTCCGAAAATTTATGGTCGGAAATCATATGACTCCTACCTCGGTTACTGGCGACACTGGCGTTGCTGTATCATTCACATCTTATAAGTATTACATATTAATGACTCCAGGTTTTCCTAAAAGAAAATCGCATTTTGATTTTCCTTATATTTATTACGTACATTACATATAAATTCTATGATTTGTCAGCCATGTGATATTATTATATGTGATAGATGTTACTGTACTATTGTACGTACTATCAGTTTTTAAAAGCCAATCCGGTAAAAATAAATTATAAAATTGAAAGCCTTAAGTATGATTTCTAATTCAATAAGGGTGCTGACATTTATTACGTAATATTTTAGGGGGAGGGTTAAGCGCGTACTATAATCAATATCTTACGTTACGCTAGGGCATTCAATCGACTAATTAATCAAAACATAGTTAGGGTGCATAATGTAGATCACTAATTGCGGATTTTTTAATGGGATTTGAAGATCGGTTTGGCTATAATCATATCTATTATGAAAAATTAATACTATATTTTTCTCAACAACGACCTAACTAATATCAAGCAGATTTTTTTTATTTCAAATCTCTCGCCATTTTCTTTCATGTAATAGAACGCTTTTTAATATTTAATGGTTTTATTCATCGCTTTTATATAATAAAGCTGTATGTTTTATATTGTTAAAAAATGATCTAAACTATAAAATTTCTTAA